AAAAAAAAAAAAAAGAAGATTAAAGTGGAACATTTCTATGCATTTTTTTCATGCATCTCTGTATATTTATTTTTTAAGAGACCCAAGAATTCCTTCATCAAACCACAGCGGGCAATGTCCCTGTAAGAAAAACCTGACTTTTGAGAAGGGTCCCAAGGAGCCACCCGACATAGGGTTGCTTAAATCTGTCAAGGCTTGCACTACCCTGCAGGAGTCAGAGGGAGCAGAGGCCAGTGTCAGCTTCAGATGAGGAGAGGAAGAAAAGCAGAATCTACTCTCTCCACTGGGAATAGTTCCTGGTGAAGGAGGGACAATAAGCACACAGCCAGGAATGGTAACTTACCCCAAGAAGTACGGACGTCCTCTCCAGGGCTGTTCTGTTCACTTGGATGCTCTGGCTCTCCATCACTGCGATTCAAGTCAGATCAGACCCCGTGTGCACTGTACTCATGAGTCATGCTTAGTAAAAACAAGGGGCTGAGTGCCAGCCTTTGCACAGGACCTGCCAGGACCCCAGAGTCACAGGGAAACAGATGCATTGGCAGAGTAGGCCTTTGAGGTGGGAGTGGGTGTGGGGACGGTGCTGTCAGCTGTAACCCGGCCCTGGGCATGCTGTGAATGGAGAGTTGCTTCTGGCCGTGCAGTATCCAGCAGCACCTGGGCGGGACGCAGAAGAGAGCCCTGCACTGGTCCTCATAGGGTGGTTCTCAGGGCTCCAGCAGGCTGGGGGGGTTACAAGGGCAGCAAACCAGGATTAGAGATGGCCACAACAGGAGAGTCGGAATGTTCTAGTCCTTTCAGACCAAGAGATGACACAGTCCACCTCTCCTTGTTACAGACAGGGGAAACATTGGGCTTGTGACCACTCCAGTGCAGCATGACCTACTTCTATGTTAGAGAGGAACAGTCATCCCAAACACTAAGGAACTCTCTATGGAAATGCCTGTACTTCATCATTATGGTAACTTACCTGCCAAAATTGGTATCAGAGGAAGCTCCAAAGAACAAAACAGTTGCCACAAACCATAAACCTATTTCATAGGAAGAAATTACATCAATGTTACTTTAATTTATGATTTGTATCTGCATTTTGTTGAAAAGCCTACTTAATTTTGTTGAGCTAGAACTGATTCTGCTCCTATCAGAGTCATGGTTGTTTTCGTACCCAACATCCACTTCTCTCTCTTGCTCTTCCCAATAAAACTTGCATTTCCTTTAAGTACCCTAGTTTATTACCAAGACCCAGTAGAGAGATTCATAAATATCAGTTAGGCCAAAGTTCATCCCCATCTTCTTTCTTTTAAGACAGTCTCTGGGTACAGTGCCAGTTGTACAGCTCACAGCAACCTCAAACTTTTGTGCTTGAGCAATCCTCTTGCCTCAGGCTCCTGACCCATTTTCTTTACTCTTTTTCTCATTATTTATTTTTTTAAGGTTTTGTTTGTTTGTTTGTTTTTTTAAGACAGAGTCTTATGTTTCCCTCAGTAGAGTACCATGGCGTCACAGCTCACAGCAACCTCAAACTCCTAGGCTTAAGTGATTCTCTTGCCTCGGTCTCCCAAGTAGCTGGGACCACAGGCGCCCACCACAATGCCTGGTGTAGTTGTTTAGCTGTTGTTTTAGCTGGCCCAGGCTGGCTTTGAACCTGCCACTTTTGGTTCATGTGGCTGGCGCTGTAACCACTGTGCTACAGGCTCTGAGTCTCTCTTTTTTTTTTTTTTGAGACAGGGTTTCTCTCCATTGCCCGGGCTGGAATAAAGTGGCATAATCACAGCTTATTGCAGCCTCTAACTCCTATCTTTAAATGATCCTCCTGCCTCAGCCTCCCAAGTATCTGGGACTTCAGGTGCACCACCATGCTCAACTAAATGTTTTTTTTTCCTGTGGAGAAAGGGTTACACTGTGTTGCCCAGGCTGGTCTTGAACTGAGCTCAAGTGATTCTCTACCTCAGGTTTCCAAAATGCTGGGATTATATGTGTAAAGATTTAAGTATGTATGGACTTGAAGTCTTTCATTTTAACTACAGAATAGGCTTAATGAATTCCCCCAACATTACCTAGCACTTACATTGACTTTTCACTGACACCATGGCTTAATTTGGGGAGCAGTGTAATCCTCACAGCAGATCACTTCCTCTAAGGGTATGAAATCTCTGGGGTTTTTTTCTTTTTTTTAGACAAAGTCTCTCTCTGTGTCCTGGGTAGAGTGCTATAGTGTCATAACTCACAGCAACCTCAAACTTTTGGGCTCAAGTGATCCTCTTGCCTCAGCCTCCGGAGTAGTTGGGACTATAACCACAACAGTGCCGGGCTAGTTTTTTAGCAACGGGGTCTCGCTCTTGCTCAGGCTGATCTTGAACTCCTGAGCTCAAGTGATCTACCTGTTTTGGTCTCCCAGAATGCTGGGATTACAGGTGCCAGCCACTGTGCCCAGCCTTCTCCTTTTGTTTAACCTGATCACATCCCACCCCCTTGGAGTTCCACTGTTTTTATTCTTCCTTGCTGTCATTTCAAGTCCTGGGCCTCATCTACCAACTCTTGCGGTCATGTTTCTTCCTGCCCCTGCAAACCCTCCTGTGCCCTGCCCTTGTGTCAGGCCTGAACCCTCCTGGCCACCTCACCTGGGCTCCTTCTCTGCCCTTAGACTGAGTTCACCTTTTGGGGTACTAGCAAGAGACTAAGGACAGGAGGGACACAGAGGGGTTTTCTCAGCCTGGCCTTTGGAGTCCCAGGGTGGAAAAGCATATGGCTATTGCCATCCCCAAAGGCACCTCCACCTCCCTGGCTCCCTTCACCCTGCCTGCACCCCTGCACACAGTCAGTCCCTGCATTGCACTCTTCCCAGCTGTTGGTGCTAGTGGCTGTCTGTTTCCCAGTAAGACTCTGATTGACTGAAGCTGTGTCCCTCCCATTATTCACCAAAACAAATCCTCAGCTTTTATAGTAACTATAACATTGGAAACACCCCAGTAAAAGAGGAGGCTTTTAAAAATGTTACAATTGTTCTCAACCTATTTTTAAAACTTCAGATGTTACCCTCCCAGACTATCTTTTTCTGAGTGATTCAGGGGTTATTTTGGTCTTAGAACTCAATGTTTGGTTTCCTTTACATCCAAAGACACTGCTGTGTAGCTCCCTGGGAGTGTGGGTGAAAATGAAAAGACAGCCCTTGCACAAACAGTGAGCAAGAGCTCCCTCATCAGCTAGAAATGAAAGTAAAGTATCTTGCCTTTAATCTAGAACAAAGGTCCATTGTAAGTCTGTAGAGTATCCTCAGGTTCACATGTACATTTTGATGCTTTAAAGAGAAAAAGTATTAAAAATTAGACAAACAATGCTTATCGCCATCTGGGGATTGACACAACTCACAAATGTTTCCAAGTGAAGCCCATGGGACTTCCACTGGCAGATACTATACACGCACGTGTTGGTATCACCACACAGCTCAAGAAGATGAGCTCGGCTCTGGAAGGCACTTCTACTGAGCCAGTGCAAGCTATTTGGGCACTTCTCCCAACCTAGGGTTTTCCCTCCTTTTACAGATTGCAAAACAGAACCCCATAAAGGCATAATATCAAAGGTGACAGGGCAGAGAACAAAGGCCTGGCCCCTCTGGACCCCACAGCCCCATTCTCTCACTTACTACTTGCGCCCTCATGGGGTCACAGTGGTCCTTTCCCACATGTGGATAGATGCACAGAGTCCTTGGGAGATGGGCAAACAAAGGCTTTGGCTCAAATGACAAGGAGCAGGGGATAGGAAGAGATGTGGCCCCTCCACACGTGGTAAAGTTCTCTGTTCCCCAACATGGCGCTCTAGGATCTCCTGTGAAGCACCTGACTCTACCAAACAACACCCCTAACTCTAGGCCACTCAGTTTTCTACTAGAGGTCTAGGATTAGGGTGAGCCCCCAGTAGACTCATGGCCAGCTGCATATAACATGGCATTGTTTCCTGGTCACCTGACTGTGGCTTTCCCATGGAAGACTGGTCAGGAGAAGCCAGCATAGGAGCAGCCTCATGTAACGCTCCCAGCTGCCACTAGCAGAGCTCCACGTGGCAGCCACACGAGTGCTGAACTCCAGCGTCTACCATGTGACTCCCGCTACAAATGGCCCCAGCACAGGTCCAGCCCCTGTGATAAGGCTCTGAGCATCTCCCTGGCTGCTGCAGCCGGCCACACTATCCCCATGCTGGTCATGCTCTTCCCAGCCACACTCTCCCCATATTGGGCATGCTATCTTCCCCCAAGAACTCTGCTCTCTGAGTCCCCACCATTTCCACACCACTCCTGCTACCTGGAACTCTCCGAGCAGCAGGGTATGGATTAATGGCCAACCTTCCACATCTCACCCTCATGTATTGCCTGGCTCTGCCACAGACACACATCTGGCCAATAGGACATAAATGGAACTGCAACCAAGGGTGCTCTTCTCTGCCTGGAGAATGCATGAGTTGAGCCCCAGCACCAACTTGGCCTTGGGGACGGGGCATGCAGTTAACCTTTCTGCCCCTCAGTTTTCTCATCTGTAAAGTAGGACTGATAATACTGAGGTGGACAACTCCTCCCTCCACTATTAACACCTCAACTTCTGTGTGGAGAAGTCTCCCTGCCAACAGCCTGGAACCTGGGGAGGAGTATAACCAAGATGGCTTGTTTGCCCCTGGGGATAAATACGTGGTGCAGGGAAGGAAAGGAAAACTCCCCAAGTGCTGACCCACAGAGAAGAAAGGCCATGGCTCAGTGTTGGCACCAAGCCCAGCAGTTCCTCCCAGGGCCACTGGCTTCTCTGTCTCCTAAGGCCTAGTTCTGCTTTCTCTCTGACCCGTGAATGCCCTCAGCATTTTGCCTGTTCTTCCAGCAGTTCTCTTACCATTTGGCTGTTTGCTGAAAACTAAGGAAGTTTCCTGAAACTCAGGAAGCCTAAGAAGGCAGCCCTCCCTGTGGCCATGTAGCTCTCACCAGAACCCTGTCCTCCAGGGTGTGCTGTGGCCTCTGTCTGGCCACAGTTCCAGTGTCTGTGAGACCTCTGCTGTCTCTGACAGTGCTTCCTGACAGCCAGTGCCCCTCCAGAGGGGGCCTGGACAGCATGCGGCAGTTCCTAGAGCTTTTTCCACATGGATGGAGGAGTGGCCGACCCAGGACCCCCAGCACTGTGGTCTCATCAGCACCAAGAATTTATAAATGAGCATTTCTCTGCTCATGGAGCAGGGACTGTGGCCCCAGAAAGTCTACTTAGAAGAATCATACTGTGAATGGGATTCCCCAGCAACTAGTTTCACAAAACAGAAATCACCAATCCTGATTCAATACCAGATCCTGATCTGCCAACAGAAATGTCAGACACCCCTAACTCTAGGCCAGCACAAATATTTGTGCTGAATAAGTGAAAATGAATGTTGAAAATGTTGTTGTTGGCTCGGCGCCTGTGGCTCAAGCAGCTAAGGCACCAGCCACATACACCTAAGGTGGCGGGTTCGAATCCCCAGCCTGGGCCCGCCAAACAA